AAATAATGTCAAAATTAAGTGAGTTTTTCTTTAAAACAAGTTAAATAATCTGTTTTCGCTTTGAAACAAGATTTCGCTTAACACCACCGCAGATTACTTTCTTTGTTTTAAGGAAAGACTCACTTCAATTTTTATGTATTATTTATTATTTAAGCAAGACAATATTTTATATTATATTATATTTTACTCAAAACTGCTTCTTGATTTGAGAAGTTGTAGATATTTTTCTAGATAGAAACAAGACAATAAGTCCAAGTAAGAATAGCATTTTTTGCAGTGTAAAAACGGCAAATCTCAGATTCACCAATGTTTTACTATTACACTGTTAAAACGAAACACTGAGTAAAACTCTACCTTCTAAGGTCTTAAGTCTCATCACATGCTGAGCACAAGACCCTCCAATACTAAAACTGAGGATTTAAGATGTCAAAAGTGGATTTTATTTCCTAATCTTTTGGCAACATGGCTGGCGATCATAATCCACCTCACAACTTTGCTGTGGCTTCATTTATTATTATTCCAAATGTGCATCATGCGCGAACCATAAAACACACAAATAAATGCTCAGCATTCATTTTATAGCCCAAATTTGAATGTTTTTATAACAAATGCCACTTAGCACAGCTCTGCGTCCATTAGTAATTGGACTGAATCCCATCTCACTGGTCCCGCGAGGAACACAGATCAATAATGCTTATGCTGTAGACTGTATGGATCCCCTCCCCCCTTTATATGCTAAGATTCAGAGAGTAATCTACAGCAAAACATGACATTTACAGCATAAAAAAGCTGTTTTAGAGCTTTAAATAGCTTTCTTTCCTTCCATATTAAAATGAATCAAGTCAAACTACAAATTAAGGAGATAACTTATTGTGTTTTATATTTTATCAAGAACAGGTCAGACCCTTTATGTCATTTCATTTCACATAAACTGATCATATCATTTGCCATATTTTGATCATTTATTTTCATAAAAGATTAGTTGAAACATTAAACAATTGCATTTAAAGGGGACTTACCGTGCTCCTTTTTGCAAGATGTAAAATGAGTCTCTGATGTCTCTTGAGCGTATAGAAATCTATCTGATGTTAGTGTTTACACCTGAAAGATATACTTATTAGAGCGTTTGCTCATCTGAAATTTTTAGTTTGAATTTTAAAGATAAATAGATGCTTACAATACGATGTTTAATGTTTAGAATGTTTAGTCAGCAGAACTTTTATCAAAACTTTGAACACAGCAGATGTTTTCTGAGATAAATAAATACATCTTGCAGAGATACACCTAACCCCAACCCTACTTCTATCCGCTTGTTAAGTGGTGACGTATGTAATACTGTTTCCGGGTCCATGCCGCCATTCATTTGAGTTGAGAAATCATTCGTTTATGATCACTTTTTATTCATATAACACATTAGAGTTAATTTTATATAAAGTCATAGTGTGCACAACAATCTCTGGGCTTGCTGTATAACAAATACCAACATTTTTACAATTTATAAAAAAAAGAATTACTTTCTAGCCATTGGATATTAGGCATGGACATATATATTGCGATCGTGATTTTCGAAAGTATTAAATCGCTTTGTAAACGTTTATTATTACCATTTCGTGGGTCTCCCCATTCAGTTGAATAGAGCGCTTGGACCTGGATGCCGCTTCGCGTGACGTCACACTTAACAAGCGGATAGGCATGGGCAAGTATAAGATTCTGACGGTATGATAACCTTGAATTTAAATATCACGGTATTGTGATTAGTGCTCTAAAATATGTTCTTTTCATATGGCAGGGTAAAAAACAAAAACTTTTTCAGTTTTGTGCACAATATATTTTAAGTTAAGAAACATTTCTAACATTTTGGAGCAGTAAACATGTCAGGCTATAAAATTCAATTGCATCATTGTCTTCTGTTGTCTTAATTAGTTTTTAAAAACACAGGTTTCTTTACAATCTAAGACAGCATCTTTTCTGCTGGAGATACTGTTGTCCTAAAAAACAAAACAAAAAAAAGTCAATAAAAAATCGTACATATACCTTAGGAATGGTATAGCAGAAAATCTTGACGGTTTTAAAACTTTTTCAAACCGCGGTATATCTTGAAAACGGTTATCGCCCCATGGCTAACCTCTACCACTCACAGTGACATCACGTCACTAGCTCTATTGAGTGCCTGTCTGAGATTGCATGTGCAAGTCTGCAGCCAGATACTATTGAATTGGGAAGGGGTGTGATGTGAATTTCAAAATGCATCTTCACATGTGAGCATTAGTTATTTCAGTATAGGTGAGGCGATAGAGTGGCTCAGTGGTTAGCACTCACAGCAAGAAGTTCACTTGTTCGAGTTTCGGCTGGGTCAGTTTGTATTTCTGTGTGGAGTTTGCATGTTCTGTGGGTTTTCTAAAGGTGCTCCAGTTTCCCCCACAGTCAAAAGACATGCGCTACAGGTGAATTGAATGAACTAAACTGGCTGTGGTGTATGTGTGTGAATGAGTATGCATGAGTATTTCCCAGTACTGGGTTACAGCTGGAAGGACATCGCTGTGTAAAACATATGCTGGCTAAGTGTAAGGTTCATTCCGCTGTGGTAACCCCTGATGAATAAAGGGACTAAGCTGAAGGAAAATAAATGAATGTAAAGTATAGGAGAAACTTTACCAATATCTCCTTTCTTTTTTAACTTTCCTGAAAACATCTTCATTAGACAGTGAAACATTGAGGTAAATTTGGTTTTATATTTGCACATTCAGACTTCTAAATAATATAACCTCAGAAAAGTTTTCTTTGCAAATTCTAAACCGGGAAGTCATATTAGCAGCCAATTACTATCAAAATACATCGTTTACAGTCAATTAAAAAGCCCCTATTTTGCATTAAAAATGGTCATATTTTAGTTTTAGAGGTCTCCAACAACATGCTGATATGTGTGCAAGGTCAAAAAACACTTTCATTGTATTATAATGTGCTGTTATTTTTACCTCATTTTACCTTAGCCACTCCCATCTGAATCATTCAGTGATTCATTTGTTCCCAAACCCCTCTTTAGCCCAAAGCTTATCTGCGGTTATTGGTCTGATGACCCAGTCTGTTGCGATTGGTCGACAGCGTTTAGCATGAGACAGAGAGAAATGCCCACCATGTCACGTTTTTAACGTAGTTTTGGACGCGATATGCGAATAGCCCCATACTGATTTAACCTGAGAGATATAGTACAAGCACTGATTAATAGATACGCGATTACAAACCGCGCAGGGTGATTACAACTTATAACACACAATTAAACACATATTTTTGCAAACTACACAAAACGAAGCAACAATTTTTAATGACACTTCCTGTACATGTAATGATCCGGAGGAAAAAGAAACTGGTCTATTTGAACTGTAAAAGAGACTGACAAAGTCCCTGTCAAAGTCTGACAAAGTCCCATAGTCTCTGCTGCTCCTTCAATAGCAAACTGCCAGCGAATCCCGTGTTGGAGCATAGGTTATTGTATCAAAAATCAAAAAAATGACAGGAACAAACAGAGCACTTGTTTGGCTATACTGTGGTATTGTTGTAAAAATTAATATTAACCCTTTATTCCCCACAGACAAATCTCCATCTGTCAGTGATTGTCATATTCGCGTCATGATCAGTCTTGTTATCCCTGGCCTCTCCGCTAGTGTGTGAAGGGAAAGCACGTGCACATTTTACCAGAACTGGAAGTACATATTTGGTGATGTACCATATCGACGTCAATGGGATCAAACAAAACATCCGAACCCAACTCGATTCAGTCATTCAACTTCAAGTCTACTATTTCATTAAAGAATCAATAGTATTAAACAAGGTGCACTTTGAGAATTGAACCTCAGCTAGATGTGTTCATTCACTTAGAGCCGTGTTACACAATGCATGGAAGGCCATTTTCAAAAAACTATAATAGGGGCTCTTTAAATGGTGCTAATGTTGTTTTCAAGTCAGAATTACATGTGATTTTAGACTGAATATTCAAACGTTCCATGGTAAACAATATAGGGAGCGTCACTGAATGAATATGCAAATATAAAGCCAACTTTACCTCAATATTGAAACACATCATCAAATGCATACAACAGTAAGCACAAGTCATTTGAAACGAACAGCCATGACGATATCAAATCTCTTTTTAATACCTCAGAGACTGGGATGAAAGTTCACCTCTCTGCAATAAACCAGTAAAATCTTCATCCCTTAGTTACAACAGAGGGCCAAATGGTGCTTTGAGGGCCAGTGTCTCTGGTTACCATGGCACTGATCTGTCTATTGATCGTCTGGCAGATGTCCACCACAACTGTGTTCCAGTACAACAGGATAAAGCAGGACACATGATTCACTTTGGTAGGCTATTTACTCAAATGTGACAATGACATAAAATAAAAAAATGATCCAGTAACTTTTTTTATAAAACCTGTTTTGGTAACACTTTATTTTGATGGTTCATGCAAGTATTAGTATAATGTCTGCTTAATATCTGTTGATACTGCAGCTAAACAGACATTTAACTGACTATAAGAAACTTTGCAAGTACATGTCAACTTACACTAACTCTAACAGTCTACTTATAATTTAATAAGAATTAGTTGGCATGTAAATGCAATGAAACTTATCAAACGGACCATCAAAATAAAGTGTGACCCTGATTTTCCCTGATAATAAAAACAACGGTTATAGTACTTCGGTTAGTTATATTTACCCTGGTATTTACATGGTAGTATTCCAAAGTAACGTAAGAATTCCGTGGCACTGTATTGTACCAAAGTAAATGGTTCTATGGACTTTCGAACGTTCTAAACTGTTCCAAACTCCTTTAAAAACAATGACATCATCACTATGTCCCTGTGATCAAATGTAAACATTTCATATCCTGCTCAAGCCAAGTTAATAAGACTGCTGTGGTTTTCCTATCCGGAGACAGAGAATTGTTTGTATGACCGTCAGAAAATTAGTGTTAAACACAAACACTGAAGAGAAGTTCTTACCTTCACACGGCGCTTTATCCCTCGTGCTCCGGTAAATCCACACTGGATTCCTCGAGTGGAAAGGCGCCTGTAAAAAAACTCAGTCGGTGTGTGTGTGTGTATGAAAGTGTGTGCACGCGCTCGTCTGTGTGTGTGTGTGTGTGTGTTTGAGCTCCCGGATTTGAAGTGTGTACACAGCGGCTTCTACAGCTTATTCCCAACTACTCTAGTTCCTTCTTCCTCTTCACAGTTTTTTTTGTAAATACTATAGTATCTATATATGGGGATTAATTTTAAGATAGTTAATCAACAATCACAATCCATCCATCCGCATATGTTTGTCTGAAATCCATTTATTTTTTAGTTCGAATGAGTTCAAGTTAAAAAGTGAAAAACATGAAATGGAAGGATTATGTTTTGGGTTACATACAGCAAAGCTCAAAATTAGAGCTACAATTTCCTAGATTTGCCTCAGCTTAGTCCTCCAAACAAAAGCAAAATTTTGTTTTTATTTTAAAAAATAAGTCTAATATGCCCACTTACACATAATGTTAAATTGCACCTGATGGTTATTTTCCTAATTATTTGACATAACTGGCATCCAAATTTTCCAGTTTGTACATGAAGTGACTAACAGTTAGTTGTCTAGCTGAAAACCAAAGAGAGTAGATCTAAATCTGTGATTTCTAAAATCTTAACAAGGCAAAACCTCATTCAAGCCCCCTAAAAAAGGCTTGTCGTTACCTAAAGAGGGGGGTACATTGGCTCAGTGGTAAGCAGTCGCCTCACAGGTTGCTAGTTCGAGTCCTGGCTGTGCCAATAGGCATTTCTGTGTGGAGTTTGCATGTTCTCCTCGTGTTGCCGTAGGCTTCCACTGGGTGCTCCGGTTTCCCCCACAGTCCAAAGACCATGCAGGTATAAGTGAATTGATTAAACCAGATTGGCTGTAGTGCGTGTGTGAATGTGAGAGTGTATGGGTGTTTCCTAGTACTGGGTTGCAGCTGAAAGGGCATCCGTAAAACATATACTGGAATAGTTGGCAGTTCATTCCGCTGTGGCGACCCCTGAAATAGAGAGTAAGCCAGAGGAATATGAATGAATTCCTGAAAGACAAATGTAGGAGATTACGTGGAGAATCTCAATAAGCAATTGGTTCCAGACAGTTGGAATTGATCACCAATTTATCTCTAAACAGTGTCAAGAGAAATCAAGAAAACTTGGACTGAATGTTGGTTTAAAGGATGCTTTCTGCAGCAGGAGTTGGGTCTCTCTATTTATCAAAGAGAATGCAAATGTTTATCAGAAGCTGCTTCCATTCTTTCTGCTTATCACCCAATCAGCAGAAATGTTCATGCAGGACACTAGCAATGTTTTAATCGACTCATTTTTTATGTGCATTTTGTAATATCGCATAAAAAACTTATGTCCACAACTGAGTAGAATAAGCTTTTTATCTGATCAGAAAAAATGTGCATCAACTACGATGGAAACACATTTACAGAATAAGTTCCAGCATGCTAATCAAAAAAAGTGATTTTTATTTTACATTTTTTAAAGCTGATATGATAACAAAAAAAGGGTTTTAGGGGGCAGAATTATTGTACAAACCAGTGGAATGACCACACTGTACAACATCTGAAATGTTGCTTTGGTCATCTCAAAATGCTTAAGCAAGAGTCTGTCTTCAAAGTGGTTCTGTACTTTGAACTGTATAGAGGCGCTGCACAGCCAAAGAGTGATCTTATGCCTCTAAAATCCATTTTTGTTATTATATACTTTACAACAGCAGCAAATTCCATTTTTCTTTTTGATATTTGGCACCAGTTTATCATGAAGTGGTGATTCTGCTCACTTTGACATGTCGGATGGACCTTTATTCTCCAATGTTTAATGCAATATTCTGGCTTCGCACATAAGTCCAATTTGCATCACTGGACGGATGCTACTAAGCCCAGTCACAGAGCAAAATGGGCTTCAGTTTATTGAAGCTAAAAAAATGAAATTGCCAGCCCAGTGTCCTGGTCTAAACCTAATTGAAAATTCTTGGTGACAGATATGATTAATCAACCCAATACAATGGGCCATATGCACAGTGTTTTTCAGCCAATGATGAACTTTCAGTTAAATGTTTATGTGACTAATTTTAATTTCATATGGTTCCTGTTACAGCATCGATGTTGCAAATGCCATTCAAATATAATCAGTTAAATAGATTCAAGCATCCATTTGGTTGTTAAAGCGTAAAAAGAAACGAAAGACCGTGTAAACCCTAGCGCCGTCATTGGTTAGCCCAGAAACTCCATTGAAAATACTGAGGTCAAATTAATCTCCATATTTTAAAGACATGGTGTGAAAATTTTTTATTCAATGCAGTGCTTATTGTTTGGTCTGATAACCAGTTTTGTATACAATTTAGAAATAATGTGATGTTCATTCAGAGTTTAGACATATTAGTCAGTATTTTACTAAACAACCAAAAAATTAAAAATAGCGAACAGCAATGACTGTTGCGTGAAGAAAGATTACAGCAGTCAAATATGAGCAAAGACCTCTTTGAATGACTTCATGACTTCTCTTACTCACTTCTCTGCTGTGATCTTGACAATCACAGCAGTAGTTCAGTAATATATGCAGAAGGACTTTTAATTTCAGTCAGAGCCAGGGCTTCAGGTTAATTGTCATCCATACAAAATTGCAGTGTTTAAGATCTGATGTATCAAAAAAAACTGCTATCTTCACTGCCTGGCTGGCATACGATATTTATCTATCTTTTGTGTGTAGTCTGTATATTTTGAAAGTAAGGAATCTGAACAGAATATAATACTTAATTTCCCTTTAGTGAGGACAATTCAATTCAAATTTTCAACAATTGAAATGCTGCCGATCTGATTTCACCAAGTAGGACATTTTACGGGATTAACTTTAATGTAATCAGCCAATCAGAATTAAGGGATAAGTTTACCATTCATGTTTCAAAAGTTCACACTTAGCTAATGATTGATTATAAAGCTTGTTTGGCATGCTGTCCCGGGAGAGAGCCCTGAGCTCATAAGATCCTCGATCCCGTTTACAGGGCAAGAGGGAAGAGGGGAGTTTGAGCTCAGGTAGATCTCGAAAACTCCCCTGCTGTAGAAGCTAATGAACAGGTTGCTCTTGCATGTTTTTGGACAGTGGGAGGAAACCGGGGGGCCCAAAGGAAACCCATGTGAGCACAAGGAGAATGTGTAAACTCTGCACAGAAATGTCGGCTGGCTTTGTAAGGACTAGAACCAGTGATGTTCTTGCTGTGAGGCAACAGTGCTAACCACTAGCCACCATGACACCCATTTAGGAAAGGAGGAGTAAGGGGATTCTTCAAAAACTAAGATGGCTGTTATATGGAACTTAGGGTATTTATAGTGACTTAGGAATCGTCTGATTGGTGAATCATAAATTGGATAACGCGGGACCAGCCGCAAGCAATCATAAGCATGTGATCCTCTCGAAATTATTTATAAATAAACTTCACTAAGTTTAGGCTTACGGTTAGGTTTATGCACTTCTACATGATTGCTATCCAACTATTATTCCCCTGTGATTTTGGAAATAATTCACAGTTATAATTGGGTTTAGGGGTAGGTAATGAGTATGGATTACATTTTCGAACAAACATAGATGTTAATCCAGTATCGCATCGTACCTTGCAAAATCATGACATGCTTAAAATTCAAATCAAGACTTACTAGTAAATAAAACAAAAATTAAGCACAAAAAGTTGCACCTCTTTTTTTTGACACATATTCAGGTTTGCAAAAGTCTTGGATGTATTTAGTCAGTTCTAACAAGAATGTGTACATGATAGTGCTGAGCGATATGACAAATGCAATCTTGAAAATTATTTTTCATATCGAACGATAATGACATATTTCGATATAAGTTATTAATACTTCCAGATTTAATAAAGCACCCCAACAATGACTGAAGCAACAAAAATTAAAGAGTCCATTAAATGGCATAACATATTTTCAGCCGATACATTTTCGGTGGCCGAAAATTCGGTGCATCTCTAATATCAACACACTTTTAGATTCCTGTTTTTGCACATTTCTGCAATGTGATTGGCTCTTAGATCAATATAGAGTAAAGAAGTTCAGAACTTATTGTTATTGACAAATTATATCGTGATTCGATTTAATATCGTTAATCTGCCCAGCCATAGTACTTGATACATAAGACGCTGTACATACAATTGTAATCGATGTGACACAGCAACAGTAAACACAAATGAAAACAAAGCATGCTAGATCTGTGTAGATCTTTCAGACTACTCAAAGTGTGCTTTTATTTTTGTAATTGAAACTCAACATCAGCTAAAGATGTACTGATTTTAAAGACATAAGTGTAGATCGTTTCAGTAGCTCCTACGAATCCAGTTCCTGGAGGGCCACAGCTCTGCACAGTTCAGTTTCAACCCTAATTAAACACACCTGATCAAACTAATTGAGTTCCATCATGAATGGAAGTCTATGGGGAGAAAAGTGCAGTGTGACCGCAGCTTATGTTTGTTGATGCAGGGTTGGAACTAAACTGTGCTACGGCCCTCCGGGAACTGGATTTGACACTTGTGCTTTTACCTGAAACACATTTGTTCAGTGTCAAAAATTCCCAAACACACACAAAATGTCCACACTGAAAATAGGAAACTTACTCTGCTGTTCAAACATTATATCTTACAAACTGGATCAGAGGTCCATTTACAACGTTGCTTCTTGAAAGTTGGCATTTAATTGCCATTTTAGTGTCTTTCCGTTTCTAATAAAATGTAAACTATTTAATCATTGACACGTCTAAAACTGGTCCACAAATTTCTAAAAACAGCCCTCTAAATGGTGTAATACATGTGTTGTTCACATTGAAGTGTAAAGGCATGAATCATAATGCATACACAACCAACAAATAATAAGATTAATAATAATAATAATAATAATAATATTTAAGCAATCATAAACAGCTATATTATCACTCGTTTACATACATTTTCTGTTTATCATAAACAATTCAGTGCAATTACCCACTTTGAAACATATTAAAGTAGGGACAAAATACTGTGAATATCCATAATATTATCAGTTAAGGTTGAGCATGAAACTGATAGAAACGCAGGCCTAAATAGAAGTTATATAAAGAGATAGTTCACTCAAAAATGAAAACTGTTATCATTTACTCATCCTTCACTTTAAAACTAGTTTGAGTTTCTTCTGTTGAACACAGAGGAGATATTTAGTAGAAAGTTAAAAAACCTGTAATCATTAACTTCCATGGTTGCAAATACTATGGAAGTCAATGGTTACCAGTTTCCAGTTTTCTTCAAAATATCTCCTTTGTGTTCAACAGAAGAAACTCAAACAGGTCTTAAGTACAGTGTGATTATTTTATGACAGAATTTTCATTTGTGGATGAACTGTCCCTTAGCAATCATTCTTGTAATATTCATCATCCTTGGTGTTTCGATATAAAAACTAGAAGCCTTATTGTTATACTTAAAAAAACTCGACAGTAGAAAACAGACAACGTATCATCTTGAAAAATATCTGTCTGTCTGTACTCATATAGTTCCCAAATTGAGGGCCAGGTAGATGAGATTGACGGTAATGCAGAAAAAGCCAATGAGGTTGCAGAGGTTGGACAGACCATGGTAGCGGTAGAAGGTGCTTCTGTGCTCCTTGTATTTGGGGTCCTGTTCACGCAGTTTGGTGTATCCTTCCCTGTTGGAGCTCATGCCCACTTGATTTCCCAGACCGTGCTCCTTCTCGATCTCCTGCATGACCAGCATATTCTCTGTGGCAGACGGACCAAACCACTGCGCATTCAGACCAGCCATAATCACAGCCACAAAGAACAGGCTCATCTGTCGAGGACAATACAAACTGAATGATAATAGAGGGTATCCAAACATTGGAGTACACACAGAGTTAAGACTGGGTGATGAAATGAAAGCACAAGTGAGATTGAGTTCAAACTACTTATTTGAAATGAGTTGAAACAACACAATTCTTAATTTTTTGAGGGGACAACTTAATTGTTTTAAGTTCAGTTCACTTAAATATGTAAAAATGATTAAGCTAACTTAATCGATTTGCATTGGAACAACATAAAGCATTTGTGTGGAATTAAGCTTTTTTTTTTAACAGCGTAGTGTAATCTAGAGGTCTGCGCTGGACAGATTTTTTAGTCCCGCTCCTGTTAACTTTTATTCCGCACCCAACCACTTCGGCTGTATATTCAGTTTTTATTCATTTGCTGCTTGCTTAGAATAATTTTCTATCCAACCAGACCGTTCCTGCTAAATTTAGATCTGGTTTCCAAAATCTTACATTACAATTGGCCACCACCAAAACAGAGAGATAACAGATAAAAGTGTAGGTTGTACAAGGATTGTAGGCTAAGGCCCAATCCCAATTCTACCCCTAAGCCCTTCCCCTTACCCCTACCCCTCGTTTTGCGCGGGAGTATTGCTGAACCCGGAAGTAAGGAGATGCACAAATTAGTATTTTTTTTTGTCATTATTCTGAGTTTTTATGACAAAAAAAAAAAAACACATGTTTTAATATATATTTATAACCGCGTTTGTGTTTTACCGTCATGCTTAAAAAAAACGCAAAAAACCCCCCTGCTAAATTTCGCGGTTTATAATTCATAATCATAACTCCTGTATAGTAGTCGCACAACATTTTCACTCGATGACACTCGAATACCCTGTCAGAAAAAGTCTAGTGGCTGAGAATGAGCTTTTTACAGTGTCTGCTATAATGTTAATGTTGTTTTGGTGTGTTTACATAGATGATTATGGCCACTGTGTAAATGCACAGCACAGTTATAATCTTATCGTCACATTAGGTCGTAATGATAACATAATATATGCCTTCAGTGATTTCTTGAAAATAAATACCAAAAAATAGCACAACTGGAATAACTACAGCAGTCCCCATCGTCTGATCTCATATGAAGCGAGAGATCCCGATGACATATGATGACGTGTGCAGATGCTGTGGTGCTGTCCCAATTCTTAGGGGTAAATTTTGAAGCCCTTCCCCTAACCCTCGGTTGTAAGGACGAAGGGAAAGGGGTAGGGGTGCAAAAATAGAATTGGGATTGGGCCTAAATGTCAGTTTTGTTTGCTTCTTTGCAATGAGACATCAGTGCTGGCTTAAACCTGAAGTTCCAGTCTTCTGAAGCTGGTCGCACACCGGATGCAGGTCGGAGGCATATGACAGTTGGAAGTAACATTCGCTGGACATGCACATTCGCATGTTATTTAAAAGGAAACTATTCAGATGGCACTCGTGGCGTGGCAGAAATACGAGTGGCAGATGAGTGCCACAGACAGCCGTCGACTTGCATTGCCGCAATGTGTACCCAGATGGAAATCAATGCTTAAATTTCTAAAATGCATGGCGTGGCGCACCACCCCCTTGACTGCTAATGGGTACAACTTTGAGGTATTATCCCATCACGCAAAAGGTAGTTTTGTTTTACATTTGCATCTATGACGCATGAAAATTTTTGACTTGCCTGATGTGGGTTTCCTAACGGTAAACTGACTTTTCTAATGCAAGCTGAATGTCCTTTATGTCCTTCAAATTGTGTGGACAATAACCAAAAATGTATTTAAAGAATATTATTTATTTATTTATTTTATTATTTTTGTTATTATTGTGGTATACTGTAATGTATAGACTCAAGCCCAACATTATACATACCCCTGGCAAATTCTGACAAAATTTGAGAAATATTATTTTTCCACAATGATGCCACGAGTATTTGATATAAGAAAAAGACCATTTTTGTATAAATAGGAATTATTTAAATGTATGTGAATATGAATAATTTTATGAATCATTTTGGGTATTCATAATTGTGGGCTTAACTGTATATATTGTTTTTTTCCCCCCAAACCATTATGCACTAAAAGGATTCCAGTCTTTAAAGTAAAACCAGAGGTGTTCAAACTCAGTCATGGGCTGCGTCCGAAACCGCATACTTCCATACTATATAGTACGCTAAAATCAGTATGCGAGCCGAGTAGTATGTCCGAATTCATAGAATTCGAAAATCAGTAGGCGAGAAGTTGATGACTTACTACTTCCGGCGAGATTCTGAAGTGCGTATCCCATGCACGCTGCGCTATCCCATAATGCCCCGTGAGAGAATTCATGAATGGAATTGAGGCGACGCAACTGACGCAGGTAGGTCACGTGACCATGTCAAAATGGCGGATGTAGTACGTCCGAATTCCATTCATACTTTTCACATTCATACTGTATAGAGTGTACTTTTTTAACGGCCGAGTAGTATGTTTAAATTCAAATGCAGTACCTACTGAGTAGTAGGCGGTTTCGGACGCAGCCATGGAGCGCTACTGTCCTGCATATTTTAGCACCAACCCCAATTAAACACACCTGAACCAGCTAATCAAGCTCTTTGTAGGCATCCTAGAAAGTTCCAGGGAGGTGTTTTAAAGGAAGTTGGAGCTAAACTATGCAGGACATCGGCCCTCCAGGACTAACTTTGGGCACCCCTAAGCTAGACTATTTCCTTATAGAGTTATTGAAGTTATCAGTTAAACATCCTATATGTCTTAAAACAGGGGTCACAAATCTCAGTCCTGGAGGGCCGGTGACCCTGCAAGGTTTAGCTCCAACTTGCCTCAACACACCTGCATGGATGTTTCAAGTATACCTAGCAAGACCTTGATTAGCTTGTTCAGGTGTGTTTGATTAGGGTTGGAGCTAAAATCTGCTGGACACACGACCCTCCGGGAACAAATTTGGTGACCACTGTCTTAAATAGAATGCAAAGAATCCAGCTTATTCCCTTCCATCATTGTGCAGCCCTGTTACGTTTCACGTATGTTGTGTGCTGTTTTGTTTGTTTTCTGTTTTGCGTTCTCTTCTCTCTCTCTCTCTTCCGTTGTGTGCACTGTCCTGTTTTAGATGTGCAACCATTGGTCGAGGGGCTGTCAATCACCATCATGACTCAATCGGCACGCCAATCAGGAGCTGGTCCGCACAGTATAAAAGCTGTGTGCTTGCGCTGTTCTCCAGGAGCGCTTGGCTCTCCGCCAAACTCCTTGCTTGTGTCGGCCGGCCTGTTTATTTGTGTTTAGGTTGGTTGCTGTATTGTCTCGTTTCTCTTGATTAAGCCATCGATTTATTAGATAAGCTTGTGAAGCTCAATTTAGTATCTATTAAGAAGTTGAACGATCTTTATGAGAATTGGATTATGAGATCTTGTTTTGCTAATGGCTTACATGTACTTAACGAGAAGTCTAGTAACGCTGTTAGTTAGTTTATGGAGGGGTTGCCACATTTGTAATTATGTTTTGAAGTAGTTATGAAGTTTAGTTAAGCGACATGCTGAAGATTACAGTTTTGTTTCAGCATTTCTCTATGGTTAGTTAGTTTAGTGGGATGGGGTTTAGTTAGATCATTCGTTATCATTATTTATCATTATTGTGATCATTATTTATTTCTTTGTTTTGGCTACACTTCCATTTTCCTGTTTAATTCAGTAAATTACATTTACATTACATCTAATTTCCTATTTTCATTGTTTGACATTCTTTGTTTAATAAATACTTACTTTTTGTTTCATTTAACCAACCGCTTTGTCTTTTAATTTTTCATCTAGCATCATTACAGACTTACTGATTGCTTTGTTTTATCCATTTAATAACTTAAAAACTTCAACGCGTAACAAGCCCAAAAACAATGACTCAATCTGTCACCTGTATGCCTTCATGCCAATCGAGCAGTTCTCTAGGGTGATACACAGCATATACGGCGAGGCTGACTGCATTGCCACCCAGCAGACAGTAGAAATAAACTGGGAACAGCTTGCTTTGCACAAGACCGAATGTGTGCATGGACACCTGAGAAATCAGCACAAAACCTAAGAAAGACAAAAGCAGAATTACGGGTACATGGCATGCATCGACTGTATTTCTGTTTAGTTTTCATACAAGTTTGCTTACCTGCTATGAAAGACACCCACACCTGCATTCCCCAAGTGAAGGAAATCACCAGCAGATGAAGAACTTTCACAAAGTCAGTCGGATCTCCCTCAGTAGCCATAATTATCTTTCTGTAAAGAAAAAATGTTCTATAAATAGAAAAAGAAGCAATTTAATTAAGATTAAAACCTCAAAGAGCAAATTACAAAATATGGCAGGACACTATCCAATCACCAAACATTACTAATTAAATAAAAGGCCTGTCACCATATAATTAACACATGGACATGAGCTCAATCATTTTTGCTGATGCAATATATATCGCCCAGACGTTAAAAAACAATTCTAGCAACACTTTAGCTGATTGTGCAACATCTCTATCTGTATTGGAGCTGTCAGTGTCAGTACGGTTAAAAAAACACTGCAGTATTTACTATAAATTACTATAGTATATTTTTATACAAGTGTGTGACAACTGAATATAGATCTGGTAGCAGATATCGCAGCCTCTGTTACTTTTTACATTGAAGTTTTTTTGTTAACATTTATTATTATTTATTTAGGATTTGCGTTTTCACATTCTGATTCCAATGCATCATTATTAAATAGTTAAAATGACTGCAATTACATGAATTATTCTTAAGAATAAAACATGATGTGTTCTTTGGAAGAGTGTATTTGCATTGTAATGATATGATATTGTCATTCTGGCATTATATAATGATGAGTGGCTTAAAATGACAATAATATTGTTAATCGCAAGATATTTTGGTGCAATATATCGAACAACAACAAAACATTCATATCGTAACAGGCCTATTAAATAATACCATCTCCTTTTCACATAGCATACACAGCAAAGCTTCATTCACACACCATTAAAATTAAAATTCAAGTCAATTCCTTGTGAGTTGACAAAATGTATATTTAATTCTAATCCTGGATTTAACCATGGCATTATTATTTATTTTATTTACAAAATCTCTATATTCACCCTTTCTATGAGCTTCCGATTTGATAATTTAGCTTGACCAACAATGAGAGAAAGGGATATCAAATATCTTTTTTTATTCATTCATGCATTTATTTTCCTTTCGGCTTAGTCCCTTTATTAATCTGGGGTCACCACAGCGGAATGAACCACCAGCTTCTCCAACATATGTTTTACACAGCGGATGCCCTTCCAGCCACAACCAATCACTGGGAAACATCCACACACACACACACACACATACACTACGGACAATTTAGCTCACCTAATTCACCTATAGCGCATGTCTTTGGACTTATGGGGGAAACCGGAGCATCTGGAGGTAACCCACGCCAATACAGGGAGAACATGCAAGAAATGCCAACTGACCCGGCCGAGGCTTGAACCAGCGTCCTTCTTGCTGTGAGGCGAACGTGCTACCCACTGCGCCACCCAGATTTTTTTTTTCAAATTAAAGCAAAACTACAAGCTTAAATACATAAACAACTTAAGGCATCACGGTGGCTCAGTGGTTAGCACTGTAGCCTCACAGCAAGAAGAGTGCTGGATCGAGTCTCAGCTAGACCAGTTGGCATTTCTGTTTGCATGTTCTCCCCGGGTGCTCCAGTTATTAGTGTGAATATGAGCGTGTATGGGTGTTTTCCAGTGCTTGGCTGTGGCTGGAAGGGCATTTGCTGTGTAAAACATAAGCTGGATAAGTTGGTGGTTCATTGCACTGTGGTGACCCCTGATAAATAAGGAACTAAGCAGGAGGAAAATTAATAAATAAATGAAGATACAAACTTTAAAAAAAGTTATGTACTTAACAAAACAAAAAACTATTTTCAACCTAACACAACCATATTTTGAATATTCCAAAATGCCTTCAAACTTACCTACAAACAGGGGCGTAGCAGACATTTTAAAAGTGGGGGGACAGCGAATATTATTAGAAGGTTTACATTAATATAATTATTAATCACTGGTTTCTAAATGGTCTGTCCCCCCCCACAACCTTCACTGGTAATTAAAAAGTAAAAGCATTTCTCATTCTTGCTTTTATAAGCCCTTTCAAAATCAAGTTACCTTGATATAATAGGTCCCATACAAAATATTGTCTTCTACTAATACATATTGCCATGTTTGCTTGTCTTGATATATAATTTAATAAACATCCTTTTCTCTTTTTTTGCCTTTCCCATACATAAAATCAAACACAGTCTTTGTGAGAGAACACCAGTATTAACAGCAGCAAAGTATGTCATAAACACAGAGAGTCAGCCAGGGGACAAAATTAGTCAGAAACATTATAGTAAACCATCTGAATGGATGTACAGTGCTGTATAATATTGTTTATGTTATTATACTTTAAAAATATATATTATTCTGGTGACGCGGTGGCACTGAGAGCAGCGATGTCGCCTCACAGCAAGAAGGTTGCTGGTTCGAGCTTCAGCTGGGTCAGTTGGCATTTCTGTGTGGAGTTTGCATGTTCTCCCCATGTTGGAGTGGGTTTCCTCCGGGTGGTCCGGTTTACCCCACAGTCCAAAGACATGCACTATAGGTGAATTGGGTAAGCTAAAATTTTCTGTAGTGTATGAGTGTGAATGAGTGTGTATGGATGTTTCCCAGTGATGGGTAACTGCTGGAAGGGCCTCCGCTGCGTAAAACATGTGCTGGATAAGTTGCCGGTTCATTCCGCTGTGGCGACCCCAGATCAATAAAGGGACTGAGCCAATTCAGTGGTAAGCACTGTCACCTCACAGCAAGAAGTTCACTGGTTGGAGTCCTGGCTGGGTCAGTTGGCATTTCTATTTCGAGTTTGCATGTTCTCCCAGTGTTGGCCCGGGTTTACTCTGAGTGCTCCCTGCTCCGGTTTCCCCCTGGCCATAGGATGTGTGTGTGTGTGTGTGTGAGAATGAGTGTTTATAGGTGTTTTCCAGTACTGACTTACGGCTGGAAGGCCATCCACTGCGTAAAACAAATGCTGGAATAGTTGGCGGTTCATTCCACTGTGGGGACCCCCGATAAATAAGGGATTAAACTGAAGGAAAATTAATAAACGAATGAATTTTTCTCCTTCATTGTCCTTTAAATCCTCATATTAATGCTTTTATCTTTCTTATTTATGCATGCATTTATCAAAATATTAATTGTGTTTTCCCTTTTCTGTATGTATACATGTATTTATAAATCAATGTATTTTATAATCACTCGATTTTTATAATAATCGTTATTCGATTTTATTTATCGATTATGTAACCTGCAATGTTTTGCCGATACTTGACAAGTCATGCCAAAACAGCTCTTTTGAACTTGATTAATAGAGATAAATGGATGAATATTTTCCTATCTGCATAGTGCATAACAGCTCACAGTTAGTAGGCTATATAGGCCTAACATGTATTATGAACGCACATGCATATCAAGTGTGTTAGTGTAGATAAGAGGAGTTTTAAGCATGGGCTGATGTTGATAACATGACAGCAACATACTAATTCAACACAGAGCCTGTGTTTGTGCGTTCATAAACCTCACCTGAGATCCTGACAGCGTATGTTTTTGATCCATTTATTTATGTTTGCATCAGTTTATTTTTAATACTCCGTTAATAAGACGTTAATAAGCACAGCGTTTCAAGACTTCCGTAATGGTCGTTCACAAAATTTCTGTTACTTGGGCAAGCATGACACGCTTAAGCAATTTCCCTCCAACTGTAAACTCTGTCGGTTTATAGAAAATACATACCCGGTCGCTCTACGCCTGGTTCTGTGTGATCAGTTTGGGTTAATCCTGCAACTTGTCTTGTCGTGCACAAATGTTCTGTTGGTTGCTCTTTTCGCCTGATATCACACCTACCGTGTTAGTCCCGCCCTCGTGACCTCGACATCCAATCACTTTCTACTATCCAAACACATGAACGAAAACGAACCAATCACGAGCTGTTTGTCGTTCTGAAGTCCAGTCTCACACCGTTTTACAATATAACATTAAAAAATAACATTATGACACGGAGTGGTTAGTGTTAGGTATATACTGATAAAATATTTAATTTAATATTTTAAAATTAAGATTTTATAATTAATTCTTAATTTAAGCAATTTTATATTTCTAACAATTTACTTCATTTTTTTGCCATTTCTAAGGGAGGATGAAACCTGCAAAACATTATATAAATAAATACGCAAATATATAAAGGAGTGAGTATATAAATCGGGCCGACGCGGTGATGCAGTAGGTAGTGCTGCTGCCTCACAGCAAGAAGGTCGCTGGTTCGAGTCCCGGCAGGGTCAGTTGGTGTTTCTATGTGGAGTTTGCATGTTCTCCCCGCGTTCGCGTGGGTTTCCTCCGGGTTTCCCCCACAGTCCAAAGGCAATGCAGTACAGGTGAATAGGGTAAGCTAAATTGTCCGTAGTGTATGGATGTTTCCCAGTAAAGGGTTGCAGATGAAAGGGCACCCACTACGTAAAACATATGCTGGATAAGTTAACGGTTCATTCCGCTGTGGTGACCCCAGATTAATTAAGGGGCCTAAAAGCAGAAAAAAAAAATGAATGAATGAATGCTCTCCATGTTGTGCTTTTGTTGTTTGCCAATAGAGAGCGCTCTTTTAAACTGAAGGCGTATTTGACCGAGCGGAAGTGAATCCTCTGTTTATTCTCTGCAGGCTGTGCGTGCTTTTCTCCAAGAGCTGCTTCGTAATATTTGCAGTTTCGTAAGAGATTTATTCTTTACCTGATGTACAATATGCTTATTTGAATATTAGAGAGCTCGTGTATTTATCGGAGAGTGCTTTACCGTTAGCTTCGCGGTTTAGCACGGATTAGTTTTTTTTCTGTATTCGCGTTTGCTGTGCTTTCAATCCAAGTGTTGTCCCCCGTTAAGACCTCCAAATAACACGAAACCACTAAATAAAAAAAGTGAATGCAAACATTCCAGCTTGAAAGACGGTTTTAACGAGATATTTGGACGTTAATCCATTTATTTTGTCGGTTTTAAGACGAAATGCTCAGTCGTAACGTAATAGAAATAGCCTTTACACGACTTGTGGTCTAGTTTTAGATGTTAAACTTTTTAAAGTTGGATTTTACTCTAGTTTTAGATGCTGAATGTATTACTTGAAGGTTACATTGATCTGTGTGTTTGTACTGTAAACCTCATGGCAGCTGCTTGTGTTGTTATTTGACACACAAGTGCTCCTGCTTTCAGATTTCGCAATTATTTAACTGTATTATTATTATTTTTATTATTATTATTATTGTTTTTTTCCTCTATGTAGTACTAAACAGCATGGGACGCAGAAAGTCCAAGAGAAAACCTCCTCCCAAGAAAAAGATGACTGGAAACCTGGACACCCAGTTCACCTGCCCCTTCTGTAACCACGAGAAATCATGTGACGTTAAAATGTAAGAGTTTTACCAAGTCGTTATTTTATGTTTTAAAAATAAAGCAATAAATAATGCAAAATCAATGTACTTTATTCCAGGGAACGGAGTCGAAATACCGGGATAATATCATGTACTGTGTGTCTAGAAGAATTCCAGACACCAATAACCTGTATCCTTCCAAAAAGACAGACATTTTGGGAATAAAGGGGACTATATTTTGCTGCTTGATGTCTAATGTTGTTGTGTTTTTGTCCTTAACTTACCTGCCAGATCTCTCGGAGCCGGTGGACGTGTACAGCGATTGGATAGATGCTTGTGAAGCAGCCAATCAGTAGTTTTGCTGGGTCAAAATGTCATAAATGACCAAATACACTTAAGATTTTTGTTTGTGTTTGTTATTTTTAACTCCCATGAATCGCTGTCCCATCTTCTATGGAAAGTTAAAGGGGTAGTTCACCCACAAATGAAAATTAACTTACTGTTTACTGCCAGACAAGTGATTCTAAACCTTTCTTATTTTTGTTGAAGCGAAAAGGAGATATTTAGAAAAATGTTGGAAACCTGTAACCATTGACTCCATACACTCAGAAATAAAGGTACACGAGCTGTCACTGGGGTGGTAGCTTTTCAAAATGTACAAATTTGTACCTAAAAGATTTACATTAATACCTCAAAGGTACATATTAGTACCTAAACAGTACAAAAGTGTTCCTCTTAAAATCTGTAGGTAATAATATATGCTTTTGAGGTACCAATACGGACCCTTTAAGTACAAATGTGTACCCTTTGAAAAGGTGTCACCCCAGTGACAGATCACGCACCTTTTATTTCTGAGTGTGTAGTAGGGAAAACAAATACTATTCAAGTCAATGGTTACACGTTTCCAACATTCTTTAAAATATCTTCTTTTGTGTCTAACAGATAAAGAAACTCATACATGTTTGAAACAAGTAAAAGGGTGAGTTTTGGGTGAACCGTCCCTTTAGGAGATGATCTAATAATGCTACAGATGGAGATTCACACAACATTAAGTAGATTTATGAAGTCTTTTCCCTTTAGTTTAGTGTTACAGAAATGCTTAGAAAATGTAAAGGATGTTGTTATTTTTTTCCAAGATGGATAATTTCCTGTTTGTTATCTTTTAGTTTGTCTTGTTTATTTTACAATTTGAGGTTTTTATGAGACCATTTAATGCCAATAAACAATTTGTGCATTTTCTCTTGTGAAAAACTGCTCTCTGTGCTTCTATATTACTATGCATGCACACATTTACACAATGCCTAAACACTACAGGGTTTGTATGAGTGCTGGAAATCCTGGAAACTGCTTGATTTTTAATATAGTGTTTTCAAGGTTAGAAAAGTGCTGGAACCTGCTTGAATTAGAAGTTGCATTGCTTTCATAATAATTCGTTATCTTATGGAGTGGTTTTCCCTTTCTATAAAATACATTCTGCACATAACGAAAACTATTTGACAGGTGGGACAATTGCCATACAGTTAAAACAGTACGTTAGTCCTAACCTAAAGTAATATTGATAATAATAAAAAGTAATATTGATGAAAGCTTACAAACTGTGCTTCCCATGTTTGGTGATGGATTTTGGCAACAGTTGACATAGGAACAGTTCATTTATTTGCTGCAGGAATATTCTCTGACTCAAGGATTTAATTTGCTGCATGAATTTTGAATGACAGCGGACATGAAATGTCACAAACGACTGGTCATAAAAGTTTGGAACTACACCCAAACACAATCTGGCTGTAAGCTCATTTTCTTTTGAGAAATCAACTTCAAGTAGAATGAGACCAAACTTTAAAAGATACTTCATCCAATAACTGATTTTTTTATTTAATTCTTTGTACCATTTTTGGGTGAACTATTTCAGTAAGTCTGTGCTCCAAAATATTCAACAATTTAAGTTGAAATGTCATATTGTGTTTTTTTTAATAGCACAATGGATTTAAATGTAAAAAAAAAAAAAAAAAAAAAAGTAAAGCATATATAAACACAATTTATCACAGTTGCCAGGTGCTGAAAAAACATAAAATTCCAGCACTTTCAAGGTGCATTTTTAAGTTGGAAAAGGTGTAAGAACACAGACACTAGCTTTATTTAGAAATTAGTTAAAGTCTAAGCTTTGTTGAGCTTTTATAATTGGGTTTTAGTGTTTGTCATTTCTGTATATCTAATTTAGGTTTGAATTTATATATATTTTTTTGCCTCTGATCTTTTTGCTTGTCTAATGAAATACATATTAAAAGATATACAAATACTTAATGTCGTCTTTATACACACACATTTACACAGTATGAGCTAGCTTTAACTAAGAATTTAAATATTCATTTTGTTGTGCTTTTATAATTTGATGTTATTTCAGTTTTAGTGTTTCCGTATATTTACAACCCCAAATCAGAAAAGTTGGTACAGTATGGAAAAAATATATATATATATATATAAAAAAAAAGAAAGTAGTGATTTCTAAATTTACTTTGACTTGTATTTCACTGCAGACAATATGACCACAAAATATTTCATGTTTTGTCTGGTCAACTCCATTTCATTTGTATATCTACATCCTTTCCTGTGATTCAGACCTGAAACATCTCAAAAAAAGTTGGAATTAAAAAGCTGCGGTCACACTGGGCTTTTCCTCCCATGGACTTCCATTAATACGCACGCGAATGCGTCAGACCGGAAAAGCAGGGTCATGCGTCAAGTTTCGCAGGTTGCTGCGGTGCAAAATTCAAGCTTTGTGAACTCTGACCTGCGAAATCGCATCACTTGACAGCGTGAGACCAATTGAGGATCAAAATACGACCTCTCTGGACAGAAGTTTTAAACATTGTGCAATCGCTCGCTTTTTAAAATGTCTAATAATCTTGTTTAATCCCAGCCCTTTTCGCAGTGCTGCGCGACAGAATTTCGCACACACAAACTCTAGTGTGACCGCAGCTTTAAGCGATTAAGTCATTTGATAAATTGGTTAAATAATGATGTGATTTGAAACAGGTGATGTCAACATGTGATAGTAATTATGATTTGGTAACAAAAAGCAGCTTCGAAAAAATGTCTAGTCCTTTAGGAGCAAAGATGGGCTGAAGATCACCAGTTTGTCAATAAAATATGTGAGAAAATTCTTTAAAAAGTTTAAAAACAATGTTCCTCAAAGAAAGATATGAAGATATTTGGATTTTTCACCTTCAACAAAACATCAATAAAAGATTAAAGGAATCTGGAGACGTTTCAGTGCGTAAAGGACAAGAGCGCAAGCCTAAGCTGAACTACCGTGATCTCTGATCAAGCATCAAGAATCGTCATTCATCTATAAGCCATAACACCACATCGGCTCAGAACTATTTTGGCAAATTTTTGTTTAGTACGTTGTTACATCCACAAATGGCAGTTAAAACTGCACTGTTCCTATAGGAAGCCTTATGTTAACAGTGTCCAGAAGCACCATCGGCTTCTCTGAGCTCGGAGGCATCTAGGATGGACCATCCCACAATGGAAACGGATACTGTGGTTAGATAAACCAGTATTTAAGGTATTTTTTGGAGAGAAATTGATGCTGTGTGCTCCGGACAGAAGAAGAAAAGGATCATCCAGACTGTTACCAGCAACAAGTCCAAAAGCCAGGGTCTGTCAGGGTATGGGGTTGTTTAAGTGCCCTTGGCAAATATAACTTGCACTTCTGTGATGGCACCATTATTGCTAAAAAGTACATCAAGATTTTGGAACAGAATATGCTGCTTCTTTCCAGGCTACAGAGGAAGAAAATACAAGTACTTGACTGGCCTGCCTGCAGTCCCGACCAGTCTCCAATAGAGAATGTGTGTCGTCTTTTGAAGCGCAAAATGCAACTCACAAACTGTTGCCCTCCTTAAGACTTGTTTGCAGGAAAAATGGGACAAAATTACACCTGAAACATTTCATCACTTGGTGTCTTTATTCCCTAAACGTCTTTTAAGTGTTGTGAAAAGCAACGACAACATTACAGAGTGGTAAATGCTCTACTGTTCCAACATTATTTTGAAATGTGTTGCAAGAACCATAATTAAAATGCATTTTTGAAAAAGAAATTGTGAGTAGCACAAATAAATAATATTTGTTGTATTGTCTGCAACGAAATACAAGTCAAAGTACATTTAAAAATCACTGCTTTTGATTTGGGCTGTAATTTAGGCTTAAATTTAATTTAATGTTTAAATTATCTTTAAATTATTTTTTGCCTCTGATCTTTTAGTTTGTTTAAAGATATAAACATTTTCTGATTCTGTCTCGTTTTTATCATTTGTAAATTTTCTTGAAGAAAACTGATCTGATTCTTATGTTTTGCAAGCAGTTAAATGTGTAAGGATTGTATCGTTCACAGTAGCTACTCAAATAGAAATAAAAAAAAAAACAAAGTAATTTGAAAACAGTGATTTATTCGTTTTTTATATGCTCAGCCATTGTTGGTAAGCCTCATAAATAAAGACATTTGAAGGAGGAGGGATGCATTGTATCACTTTCAATGGGAAACTAAAGTAAGATTCGCTGTTTTATGGTCTTGAGTTACTGTAACAGAGCTCACATCAGTCATAAACAACACATTTCTGGATTATACATTGTTGTTGCTCTGATCATTGAGCTTTAAACATGAGAATTTTGCAAACACAAAAGTTTAATGAAAACTTAATAGAAACAGACAGTTCACCCAAAAAAGAAAAAAAAATAATACTTACTCTCGAAACATTGTTTCTTTTGTTGAACACTAAGGAAGATATTTTGATGAATGTTGGAAACCTGTAATTCAATTCAATTTCAATTCAGCTTTATTTGTATAGCGCTTTTACAATGTAGATTGTGTCAAAGCAGCTTCACATAAATGGTCATAGTAACTGGAACAGTGTGGTTCAGGTTTTAGTGTTTAAGTTCAGTTCAGTTCAGTTTAGCTCAGTTCAGTGTGATTTAATCATTACTGAGAGTTCAAACACTGAAGAGCAAATAAATTAATTAATGTAACCATTGACGTCCATAGTATTAGTTTTTCCTATATGGACGTCAATCATTACAGGTTTTCAGCTTTCTTCAAAGTATCTCCTTTGGTGTTCAACAGAGTAAAGAAAGACATAAAGGCATGGAACCACCATATATGGTCAGTAAATTGTCATTTCTGGATAAACCATTCCTTTAAAGAGTGCATACCCTTTGGTTGTCACACTTAACATCTTAAGTGCAGTTTCATTCATTCTGTTTGGGTTCGCATGAATGTTCACAGTATGCTTTTGTTTTCAGAACTGCTAACAGTGCTCTATGCCAGTAGTTTATTCTCTTCTCACTTTTAGGATATACTGCATCAATAAATATTTTTGGACAGTTCTATTCTACAGTTCTTATTTGAATTGTACTTAATAAATGACTTCAAGGGTCTATATTATTCTGTATTTTAATAGACAGTCCTGTAGCCAGCCTGGTGAAAGGGTTGGTTCCTTTTTTTCTCAAAAAGCAGACCTTTTTGCAATTACTTGCCTCATTTTCTATTTATGTCATTTTTAGTGACATTTTAAGCACTATTCTGAATTAGCTTGTCGGGTGGTCATCATAACAACCTTTTTTGACAATTTTAGCCAAAAAAGTTTTCGAAGTCAATTTTAATATGGTGCACTTTTGGCGCTTCACACCTTTTCATTGGTCAATTTTTATTCCAAGATTTACAATCAAAGTTACTTGTAAAATGTTTTCTCTGTTAAAAAACAACACAGTAGCGAAAGATGACTTCACTTATGTCAGATTGTGTTGTATATTGTTGGCCAAAACTGATTAGCTGAAGTCACACCAAAGCGACCACCAAGAGGATTCAGCTTGCTCTTAAGACCTTTTTTGATGGGTTATTTTCACCACCGTGATGATGGCATAGCAGTCAAATAAGCTCATGTATAAGACAAACTCTGAACCTTTGTCAGTGAGGGGTATAGGTCTTACCACCCGAATCCCTCCAGTTTATCGGAATCTATTTACGCTGATTGTGTATGGCAGATCAAGAACGATTCCAGAACAGAGATGTGCTATACTGAATGTGTTTTTAAGGTCCCTCACACAAACAAAATGACAATACAATGCCTGTATGTGGCTTCAAATTACTGTGAGTGATCCACTGAATCATTCATTCAGATTGGTTCAAAAGCAAGTGAACAGGCATACGGTGTGTTCCAAATGATATATATATATATTACACTATGGAGGGCACTTTGGTGTTTGGAGCAAGACTTTAATATGGTGGATGTAATTGTTTCACTCCAAAGTGCTCATAAATGGCCACTTTTTAGTAGTGGTGGGCAGAGCGAAGCTTCATAAAACCAACATTATGAAGCTGCCCACCCAGAGACCCAACTGCACACTCAGACTTGTTCGCTCAGACCAGAATATCCAGGCCCATCGTTAGGGTTAGGGTCAAATATCCGATATTGCTACTTGCTAGAAAGTGCCAAAATGTCCTCGTCTGTAATCACAATGACGTACTGGACCCGGTGCAATATGTAGTGGACATTGTACTGCCCACTAGGGTAACACGCATACTACTTTGATGGTTGGGTTTGGGGTAGGTGTAGGTGATCGTTCATTACAGAGTGGACCTGGGTCTCCGGACCTGCCGCTTCACCCGACCCAACAGCACATGGCACTGTCTCAGAAAATGATGGGAGTGAGCATGCAGGTGTGAGTGTGCAGTTGGGTCTACTCAGGGCCGGAGTGGGACTCTTTTTCAGCCCTGAAGTTTCAAGCCTTATACGGCCCACCTCAGTTCACGACTGACTATATTAAAATCAATTTCCAATTCAGTTTCTAATTAGACTATCATGTCTTTTTTTTTTGAGAAAACAGCTGTTTTAGAACTTCAAATGTTCAACAACCCTCACAGTATTATATGTCTTTAAAAAAAAAAAAAAAAAAATGTTTCTCAGACGAGGACCGAACCCGGGTAGGCCGCGTCATAACCTAACGTGCTAACCACTGTATCACAACAGCTGTACATTAAATGGTGTCATATCTAGTTATATCATCATTAAAATTCTCCCGGTGCTCCTGATTTGCCAATCCGGGCCTACCGTCTACTCTCAGGCCTGCAAGTTCACCCTACTCAGTGAAACACAGTTGAAGCACGCTTGCTGAGGTTTCAAATCTCGTCTCTACAGTGCCACCTAGCGGTTGTTCAGGTATTGCGCTGAAACAACTTGAATTGGTTTAACCCAGGTTGTTTTGAACGAGATATCAAGTGATTTAGTGGAGTGGTAGTCAGGCAGAAATGGTGGGATTTAATTCAGGGTCATCCTACTGTCCTTTAAAATTTGCGGTTTTATTGCACTGTTCTTGAAATGATTTATATGTACATTAGTCTTACACACAAATTAACTTTTTGTGAATAAACGTGTTTTGGTCATTAAAACAATTAATACAATGAAAAATTATTTTAAATAAAAATGTTAGGCAGTAAATGTTAAATTGCAAACTGTTGTTGAATTTGTTACAGTTGGCATATTTTCATGAAAAAGGCACTCGTGAATATCATATTACTCAATCGTATATTGTAAGAACAATAAAAACAAGGCCGCACACATTTGTTTTGCTTTCATAATTTGAATTACAGACTCATTCTAACTGTATACGTTTCATCTCGTCAATACTTTTGGATTACAGACACATAGTTTGTTTTGACGCACTTAATGTCAGCTCACACATCGTTAAAGTAATCGATTATTATAGAAACGATAATTATTAAAAACCGGGCTACTCCTGGGTTAACATTCTCAATGAATGAATGAATCAACATAAAATCTTGGGATCGTTTAACACAGATTAAACCAGGTATCCAATGCCTTCAGATTCCCTTGATAACACAGGCAGGAGTGTTGGAGCAAAATTGAAACTTACAGTAGGTGTCATTAAAGTCTTGATGTCTAATATGTTGTCCTGTCTTGTCCTAAGGGATGAATTGACTAAAAGAGTGGAAATGTGGTTTCAGCAATGTCAATTCATTCATCAATTACAGCTAAACGCCAAGCAGCTGTAGTGCATTTACAAAATCATGCAGTAGTTAATGGGATAGTTCACTCAAAAATGTGAAAACTCTGTCATTATTTACTCAACCTTTACTTCCAAACCTGTTTGAGTTTCTTATGTTAAACACAAAGATATTTCGAAGGAAGCTGGAATTTAGTAGCACTGACTTCCATAGTATTTGTTTTTCCTACTATGCAAGTCAACAGCTACAGGACTCAGCTTTCTTTAAAATGTCTTCTTCTGTGTTCAACAATAGAAACACAAAGATATGAAACCACTTGAGTAAATTAGCATTTTTTTTTGGTGTGAACTGTCCCTTTAAAAATCAGTGGGCATCTTTGTGAAAGTGATCTGACTGGCTCTTTAGTGGATTTTCTCATCTTCTATCTGATCAAAGCAGCACAATGGGACATTAAAATACACACTTCTAATAGCTTCTGGTGTGACAAATCCATTTAAAGCACTTAAAGACTCCTTTTTATATGTTTTTTTTTTAAACGGCTGCATTTATTTGACCAAAAATATAGTAAGAACAGTACTAAATCTGAAGGATCACCTGACATCGAAGACTGTGATACTTCACATGAATAAATTACATTTTAAAAATATATTAAAATAGAAAACAGACATTTGCAGTTAATATATTTCACAATATTACGGTTAATTATATTTAGATCGAAGAAATGCAGCCTTGGTGAGCATGAAAGGATTTTCCCCAGTAGTGTTTATATAAGGCATCATAAATAATATCTATATTTATCATCTGCATTATTTTTTTTTTTTCATGTATAAGAAAAAAAGGGCCATGCAGGAGGACAATTGCACACTCAAAAAATGTAATAAAATATAAAAGTAAATCTACTTATGTGAGAAGCAGGAAAAGCCTGTGTTTACAGCAGGGGTGCTCAACCCTGTTCTTGGAGATCTACCTTCCTACAGAGTTTAGCTCCAACCCTGATCAAACACACATGAACTAATTAATTAGGACATGAACAGCATTTGATAATTACAGGCAGGTGTGTTTGATAAGGGTTGCACAACTGAAATCTACAGCAAGGTAGATCTCCAGGAACAGGGTTGGTCACCCCTGGTTTAAAGGAGCACTCCTTTATGGGAAAAAAATAGGCTCATTGTATCTTCCCTAAAGTTAAACAATTAAGTTTTACCATTTTTAAATCCATTCAGCTGATCTCCAGGTCTGGTGGGAGCACTTTTAGCTTAGCTTAGCATAAATCATTGAATCGGATTAGACCATTAGCATCCCCCTTAAACATTCAAAAAATAATTTTAATAAATTTCCTATTTATTCTTTTGCAGTTAAATTGTGTTCTAAGGCTGACAGAAAAGTTGCTATTTTGTATTTTGTCTGCTGATATGGCTATTGGAATTATACTCACATTCTGGCGTAATAATCAAGCAACTTTGCTGCCGTATCACGGCTGTAGCAGGAGCAATGATATTTAGAAGCGTTACCTAGCAGGGGACTATTTTCAGGTGCTGCTAAACATCATTGCACCTGCTGCAGTTTCTTTTTGAAATTTTTAAGCAAGATGCTAATGGTCTAATCCGATTCAATGATCTATGCTAAGCTAAGCTAAATGTGCAAATGGAATAAACTCAACTGTTTAACTGGCAACACTTTACAATAACAGTACATTAATAATGATGTGTTAATATGTCAACTAAACATTACTTTATTATAGACTAATGATGAGTTTATGTGTGCGCTAATCATGAGCTAGCTTTAACTACAACATGTGTAAATAACGGTTTCCTAAATTACTTGTTAGTACATCCTTGTTTTTTAATTAATGTATTAAATACTACATTAGTTTATGCTTAATTTAACCATCATGAACTCCAGATATGTTCATGAAAATTATATCATGACTTTACTTGAAGGGGCACATCATCATTAACCAATTCTTAACTACTCATGAACGCCTTATGGACATCCGTCTAGTGCATTTGCACTAAATAACAATAGAAAAGTGTTCTGTCAGCATGAACATGAACACTTTAAACACAGGAGTTCATTAGTAGCTAAGGTTGAGTTAATTGTGATGTGCCCCTCCATGTAAAGTCATGATATAATTATACATTAACAGCTCATGAGCTCATCCCTGCTGAAAAATCCAGCTTAAACCAGCCTAGGCTGGTTTAAGCTGGATTTTTCAGCAGGGATGTTTGTTACATTTAGCTTAAACTAAAAAGTTGAATGATACATTCATTAATAACATGTACTAACAAGTAATTAAGGTAGTCGTTATTCACACATAAACTCCTTTGACTCATGTTTTAGTTAAAGCTAGTTCATGATTAGCGTACTCCTTAACTAATAGTTAATTCATAATAATGTAACGTTTAGTTTACATACATCATTATTCTTGTACTGTTATTGAAAGTGTTACCGTTTAACTCTAGGTGACCAGTAAAATGAGCTTATTTTCGCCAAAGATGGAATGTTCCATTAAAAAAAGTCAACAAAATACTCCTAATTTAGTTTTCTACGACCGGTCAGACACTGAAGTCTGCAGCTATGATCAGTGGCTGTGGTGGCGGTAAACATTTAAAGCTGGTCCTACTTGTCGACATGAATCTGGAATATCAAAAGTGCAGGTGAATTAAAAAAACAAAAAGTAGTGTGCCGGCTGTTCATCCTAGTCGGAGTACTGATATCCATCCATCTCTGAGTCCTGGCCGTTGTTGATGTATTCATTGGCGCTGGAGCAGTACTTGCTGTCGTACACTTGACGCGGCAGGCCGTACACCGTCATCCCGGTCTGGGACGCAACCTTGTTGGTTCCCATCTGCAGCGAGACGATAGAAGTGTCGCACATCTCCATGTCCAGCTTCTTCTCGAAGATTTGCCGCTTGGTGCCTGGAGCTGTCATACCAGCCTGATAGAAAGAAGAGGAAGTGAAATAATTTATGCATGGCATTTAAAGCAAGTTTATTAAAAAATTAAATGTTTTCATCTCTAGTACCTGACTGGCTCCTTTGTTGGTGCCCATCTGCAGGCTGATTGTCGATTGATCTAGAGGATTTTCCATACCGGTCTTAGGGTCGTATAGGTGACGCCGTGTGCCGTAAGATGTCATGCCTTTTTGACTGGCAAACTTATTGGTTCCCATCTGAAAATGCAAGAAAGTGTTGAATAATATACAACCCTAAAGAAATAAGGAATCTGGAGGAATTTCATTCATCCATGAGCAAAATCATCACATGGGGTCAGGACTACTTAGGCAAACCTTTGTCAAGTGACACAATATGTAGTTTCATCCACAAATGGCAGTGAAAACTGTACAGTGCCAAAAGGAAGCCCTATGTTAACATTGTCCAGGAGAGCAGTTGACTTTTCTGGGATCGGAGGCATCTGGGGTGGACCATCACACAGTGGAAATGTGTACTGCGGTCAGATGAATCAGTATTTCAAGAATTTTTTTGGGAGAAATAGACACCGTGTGCTCTGGAGCAAAGAAGAAATGGATCATTTAGACCCATTAAAGGTCCCGTGAAGTGCTTTGAAATGCGCCTTTTTTATTTGATGTTTGGCGTTATCTCAATTGAAAAAGGGCAAGACAGAGTAGCTCCTCCCCTTTTAAAAAAACAGCCAATAGTGTTTTGTTTTATCACCGCTCTGCCAGTGAGAGTGAGTTGAGCTCAAGCGCATCAAATGAAAAGCAAATGAGAAGCGTCTTGAAGGGGCGGGGCATGTCAGACACTAGAGAGCATTTGATTGGTCAAAAAATTTGATGAAAACTGAAGAATGAGCTGATGTGAAAAATATTGGTTTTATATCTTCTAATTGTGAAGTTTGTCATTGTTCTGTATCACACTAGCTTATAGATATCCCTGAAGACTAAAGTACTGATACTAACATCTAAAAACATTATTTTATTTTCACTAGACCTTTAATGCTGAAAAATACATAAAGAATTTGGAGCACAAAATGCTGCCTTCCTTTCCAGGGATGTCCATGCAGATTTCAGAAAGACAATGCAAAACCACGTTCTGCACACATTACAAAGTCCTGGCCACTAAGGGAAGAGGAACAGGTACTTAACTGGCCTGCCTGCAGTCCCGACCTGTCTCCAATAGAGAATGTGTGTGATTCAAAATGCGACAACGAAGACCCTGTACTGTAGCCCACCTTAAAGGCTGATTTATACTTCTACGTCAAGTGCACACGTATACTACGCGCAGCCTATGTGTGGACGCATAGCCCCTCGCCCCCCTGCGTTGATGAGCATCTCTCAAAAATGTAACGCGTACGCATAGCACAAGCTTCGTAATTGGTCGACTTGGTAGTGCTGACAAGTGTGTGTTTACAAGTGTGGAGTACCATGAAGGAGCTCCGGATGGAGACTGCTGTTTTGTGTTTACCTCATGATTAAAGTTGTTGCACGTCTGCCGGTTCCCGCTTCAAAATGAGCGAATTTGAGCCACTTGTACATTAAGTAAGCATGCAGAAACAATTCAATTCAATTCAATTCAGCTTTATTTGTATAGCGCTTTTACAATGTAGCTTGTGTCAAAGCAGCTTCACATAAATGGTCATACTAACTGGAACAGTGTAGTTCAGTTTTTTAGTGTTTAAGTTCAGTTCAGTTTAGCTCAGTTCAGTGTGATTTAATCATTACTGAGAGTTCAAACACTGAAGAGCGAATTCCTCGATGTATAGCTCTACCAATCCTGAACCATGCGAGCCAGTGGCGACAGCGGAGAGGGAAAAAAAACACACCAGCGAAGAAACTGGACACAGAGAAACATAAACACCTACTGCCAGCCAGCGTTTTGGAAGTGTATTGCAGAGCAACAGAAACAGTGCAGAAGTATAAATGCACGGCTACGCACAAGGCTTGCGCCGTGGGTCACGCTGATCACTTGACGCAGAAGTATAAACCAGGCTCTAGGCTTGTCACTCTTGGATGCTTTTGTACCAAATCATAATTAGAATCACCTGTTGACATCACCCGTTTCAAATCACATCATTATTAAACCAATTTACCTGATTACTAGCCCTAAATTGCTCCTGTCCCAAGTTTATTTGGAATGTATTGCAGGTCTGAATGGCAGGAAAGGACGAATATTTACAAATGAAATCAAGTTGACCAGACAAAACATGAAATATCTTTATATTGTCTGCAATGAAAAACAAAACAAAAGTAAATTTGGAAATTACTACTCTCTTTTTTATATATTTCTGTTTTACACACCGTGCCAATTTTTTTCTGATTTAGGGTTGTAAATAACTTCCATATCGTCCAATATTTAATATCCATGACAAATACATCCCTAAATAAAATCTCATTAAAGAAAATGTACTGATTAATAGCCTGCACTGACCTGCAAACCAATAATATTTCGTCCCTCCTTTAGTTTTTCAGGAGCAAATCTGCGCTGCTGTTTCTCTGCGTATTTCACTCCGATGTCGTACTTCGAATGAAAGCCTTTCGATTTAGCCTGGATTTCAAAATACAAAGACATAAAAGGATTAAGTATATAAGTAAATACTAAAAGCGAATTGACATTTTACATTTTTAAAGCTCATGCATTTGACATAAGTATGCACAAATAACTTAGAAGTAGAACACGTAAAGACATTCATGATTTTAATAATCTCTCTGAATCCACATATTGTGAGCTACTAATGAAACAAGTACCACTAGCAGAAGCACATTTAAGCAAAATGCGGAGCAAAGAGCAAGTTACCCTTCATTACTGCATTTGTGTTTAACATTTCCGTATTAAAATGCACAAGACTCACCATTCCAGCCAGTGCAATAAGCGTGCTCTGGACCTGAGTGTGATTGACGTTCTCAAACAGGTCGTTGGCCTCAAATATTTCATGTGGCTTCAGTCCATACTCTTGAATGGCTCGGACAAAATTACCAATATTTTCCAGCTGCAACAAACAAGGCCAAACCAGGAAGAAAGTGACTTGCTCTGTGATCTGTCAGAAATCTGAAAGTATGCATAACTGAGTCCAAAGTTACACCTTCAGCACCGGAAACTGATTATATTTGGAACATGAGATTAGCAGATATTCAGACATTTTCCAAGAACACATCGTAAATTCCTTACAAATACAGAAACTGAACAAATATGCTTGAAATGTGGTATTTATTTGTGTTCTAATCCTTCATTACAGGGTCAGTTCACCAGAAATTGAAAATTACATCATCATTTACTCCTCCACTCATATACTGAATAATGTTGCGTATAATAAACAACAACCATTCACTTCTGTAGTATGGTTTTGTTCCTACTATGAATGTCATTGGCTGTTTTTTCCAACATCCATATCCAATATCCATCCATCTTTTTACCCATTATCTATCTATCTATCTATCTATCTATCTATCTATCTATCTATCTATCTATCTATCTATCTATCTATCTATCTATCTATCTATCTATCTATCTATCTATCTATCTATCTATCTATCTATCTATCTATCTATCTATCTATCTATCTATCTAACTAACTAACTAACTAACTAACTAACTAACTAACTAACTAACTAACTAACTAACTAACTAACTAACTAACTAACTATCTATCTATCTATCTATCTATCTATCTATCTATCTATCTATCTATCTATCTATCTATCTATCTATCTATCTATCAAATTTATTAAAAATAAAAACCCTGAAAAAATCACATGTACATCAGTATTCACAGCCTTTGCTCAATACTTTGTTGATGCACCTTTGGCAGCAATTACAGCCTTAAGTCAGTTTAATATGATCCCACAAGCTTGGCACACCTGTCTTTGGGAATTTTTGCCCATTCCTCTTTGCAGTACCTCTCAAACTCTAACAGGTTGGATGGGAAGCGACGGTGTACAGAAATTTTCTGATCTCTCCAGAGATGTTCAATAGGATTTAGCTCTGGGCTCTGGCTGGGCCACTCAAGAACATTCACCGAGTTGCTGTGAAGCCACTCCATTGATATTTTGGTGGTGTGCTTTAAGTGATTGTCCTGCTGGAAGATGAACCGTCGCCCCAGTCTGAGGTCAAGAGCACTCTGAAGCAGGTTTTCTTTCGTGATGTCTCTGTATATCTCTGCATTCATCTTTCCCTCTATCCTGAATAGTCTTCCAGTTCCTGCTGCTGAAAAACATGGTATTAGCCTGGTGATGAGCAGTGCCTGGTTTTCTTCAAACGTAATGCCTGGCATTCACTCCTAAGAGTTCAATTTTAGTCTCATCAGACCAGAGAATTTTGTTTCTTATGGTCTGAGAGTCCTTCAGATGCCTTTCATGGCTTCCGTCTGGCCACTCTACCATACAGGCCTGATTGGTGGATTGCTGCACAAATGGTTGTCCTTCTGTAAGGTTCTCCTCTCTCCACAGAAGAACGCTGGAGCTCAGACAGAGTGACCATCCGGGTTATTGATCACCTTCTTGACTAAGGCCCTTCTCCCATGATCACTCAGCTTAGATGGCCGGCCAGCTCTAGGAAGGTTCCTGGTGGTTCCAAACATCTTCCACTTACGGTTGATGATGGAGGCCACTGTGCTCATTGGAACTTTCAGAGCAGCAGACATTTTTCTGTATCCTTCCCCAGCCTTGTGCCTCTAGACAATCTTATCTCAGATGTCAACAGACAATTCCTTTGTCTACATGTTTGGTTTGTGCTTTGACATGCACTATCAACCTTCGGACCTTATATAGACAGTTGTATGCCTTTTCAAATCATGTCCAATCAACTGAGCCACAGGTGGACTCCAATTAAGCTGCTGAAACATCTCAAGAATGATCAGTGGAAACAGAATGTACCTGAGCTCAATTTAGAGCTTCAAGGCAAAGACTGCGAATACTGATGTACATTTGATTTTTCAGCTTTTTTATTTTTAATAAATTTACACCAATTTAAAAAAAATCACATTTTTCACATTTTCATTATGGGGTATTGTGTTTAAAATTGAGGTAATAAAAAAATTATTCCAAAAAGGATTAAATTCATAAGCCTGTAACATAAAAAATGTGGAAATAGTCAAGCGCTATCAATACTTTCTGGATGCACTGTATCTATTCAACAACTTCCATTGTATTTTTGTTCCTACTATGAATGTCATTGGCTGTTTTTTCCAACATCCTTATCCAATCCATTTCCAATTTCCATGTATCCATCATCAATCCATCCATCCATCTAACCATCCATCCATCCATCCATCCATCCATCCATTATCCATAAATATCCATCCATCTATTCATCTATCCAATATCCATCCATCCATCCAATCTCCATCCAATATCCATTCATCCATCCATTAATCTATCCATCCATCCATCTATCCATCCAATATCCATTCATCCATCCATTAATCTATCCATCCATCCATCCATCCATCCATCCATCCATCCATCCATCCATCCAATATCCATTCATCCATCCATCCATCCATCCATCCATCCATCCATCCATCCATCCATCCAATATCCATTCATCCATCCATTAATCTATCCATCCATCCATCCATCTATCCATCCAATATCCATTCATCCATCCATTAATCTATCCATCCATCCATCCATCCATCCATCCATCCATCCAATATCCATTCATCCATCCATCCATCCATCCAATATCCATTCATCCATCCATTAATCTATCTATCCATCCATCCATCCATCCATCCATCCATCCATCCATCCATCCATCCATCCATTAATCTATCCATCCATCCATCCATCCATCCATTAATCTATCCATCCATCCATCCATCCATCCATCCATCCATCCAATCTACATCTATCCAATATCCATCCGTCCAATGTACATTCAATAATTTAATATCCATCCATCCATCCATCCATCCATCCATCCATTCTAATCCTATATTAAAGCAATAGTTCACTTGTTAAAGTTACATCATTTACTCCTTCTCTACTTGTTTAAATGATATACAGAAAATGTTGAGAAGAAAAAAAAAACCATTGACTTCCATAGGATTTATTTTGTTCATATCATGAATGGCATTGGCTGTTTTTTCTTTGGAAAAAAAAATTTAACAAAGGATTATACTTTTCATTTTTGGAATTGTCCCTTTAAATTGAACATTCTTTAGCATAAAAATTTAAAAAGACAAGAAATGGCAGTTTCCTGTCAAACATACTAGCTGTAATATGTCAGCAACCGTTAGATTCTTCTAAACAAATGTTTGACCAGGGTGTAAACACTGAAGGCAGAAACATTTACAAGTATATCTTTGGATTTCGTGTGCACACATCAGATTTGATATGGTCATCGACCCCTATTAGACCAGAAAGACATTTATTACTCACCTGATGCCAGTTTTGAGGAGAGTTGTTGATCTTTCTTACAGAACCGGGTTGAAGAGTGTTGATGAGCCTGTTCATGAGTAATAAAGACGAACATGGGAAAGAAAGTAATGACTGATCATTATTTAAAGAGCTGTGCAGATATAAAGCAACTGCCTGTCAAGGTTTTGAAAACTGGCCTTTTTTTCTGTTTACATACACACAAGCTTAAGATTTAGGTCCCACTTTATAGTAAGTGTCCTTAACTACTATGTACTTACTGTGTTTATAATGTATTTGAGAACCCTTGTGGTGCTTTTGAGTTGGGATAGAGGTTGGGTTATGGACAGGTTTGGTGGTATGGGTAGGTTTAAGGGTGAGATAAGGTGTAAAGGATGGTCAACAGTGTATTTACAAATGTAATTACAAAGGTTAATTACAGATGTGATTACATACAGTTATTTAATCAAGCATAAGTACACAGTAAATACATGTATATACACAATAAGTACATTGTAACAAACTATTAATTCCTGTTTAAGTACATATTAGTTAAGGTCACTTAATATAAAGTGGGACCAAGATTTATTAATTAAGTGTCTGATTTAATGTTTCAAGTAGCTGACAATGTCAAAATATGGGTGAAATAATCGAGTTTAACAGACATATTTGGGCAATGTAAAACTGAAATAACATGCTTATGCTCACCTGTACTTAATACAAAATATAAAAGATTAAACTAAACATTACGTAGGGGATAATGTATATCTAGGCGATTGCTCTCTGGAGTACTTGATTCTGATTGGTCTGCACTGTGTATCTTTCAATAGAGTCTTCTGATGTCATCACATTATTCTTGTTCTAAATACATCTGACAATTTTTAAAGTGGTGGTCCACTACGCTATCCTAATTTCAACTTTAGTTGACGTGTAATGTAGCTGTGTGGACATAAACAACATCTCTGAATGTAATATGCTCAAAATTCAATGCAAACGGAGACATTCGCTTTTACAGAGTTAGCTTGGCAAACCGTCTCTTGAGCTCTTCAGATGTAGTTTCATGAATCACTCACTCGCACAGCAGGACTCCATCTTTCAGGCCCTCCATGAAGTTCTCTGGAAGTTTGCGGCCTGTGACATCACTGATCCACATCCTCAGCTCCTCCTCCTTTTGTGGGTCATACTTGTGGGCCAGCTGGAGGTCAAAGGTCACAGCATCACTACGGACATCCAGCTTACAGTACAGCAAATTTCACAGAGATTTGTTTTTAAACAATGATCACACATATGCACTTATTAATTTGTTTATCACATGGCTGGGTGATTTAAAATACCATAGTAAAAAATGAGATTACATGAGACATCCATTCATCCATCTACTGTATCTGTCTATTATCCATCCATACATCTAGTATCTGATATTGATCCATCCATCTATCCATCCAATATCTATCTAATATCTCTCCATCCATTCATCCATGTCCATCCACTATCTTTTTAATATTGATCTATCCAATATCCATCCATCCATCAAATATTGTTCTATTCATCCAATATCTATTTAATATCGATCTATCCATCCATTCATCAATCCATCTAATATCAATCTTTTCATCCATATATCCATCCATCCATCCATCCATCCTTCTAATATCCATCCATCCATCCATTTATCCAATATCTAATGAATATCGATCTATCCATCCATCCATCCATCCATCCATACATCCATACATCTATCTAATATCCATCCAATATCAATCTATCCATCGGTACATCATTCATCCTTCTAATATCCATCCATCAGTCCATCCATCCAATGTCTATCTAATATTGATCTATCCACCCATCCAATAGCTATCTTATATCATTCAATCCATCCATCCAATATCATTCCATTCAATATCTATCTAATATAGATATATCCATCCATCCATCCAATATATATCTATCCATCCATCCATTTATCCATCAATTTAATATTCATCCATCTATCATCCATCCAATATCTATTTAATATCGATCTATCCATCCATTTATCCATTCATCAATCCATCTAATATCAATCTATTCATCCATATATCCATCCATCTATCCATCCATCCATCCATCCTTCTAATATCCATCCATCCATCCATTTATCCAATATCTAATGAATATCGATCTATCCATCCATCCATCCATCCATCCATCCATCCATACATACATCTATCTAATATCCATCCAATATCAATCTATCCATCGGTACATCATTGATCCTTCTAATATCCATCCATCAGTCCATCCATCCAATGTCTATCTAATATTGATCTATCCACCCATCCAATAGCTATTTTATATCTATCATCCATCCATCCATCCTTCCATCCATCCATCCATCCATCCATCCATCCATCCATCCAAAATCTATATAATATAGATATAGAATTTACCAGACAGAAGGAATTCTTAAAATAAAACAGTATTAGATAGATATTGGATAGAAACACACACGCACGCACGCACGCATGCACGCACACACACACACACACATTATTTTTTATTTTAATATTATATGTTAGGCACCAAGGGTTTTGAATTTCGATTTTCTATATGTCCTGTACATGTGGCTGAATCAACAATAAAGCTGACTTTGACTTTGATCTATCTAATATCCATCCATCCATCATCCAGCCGTACAAGCAACATCTATCCATCTATCCAGTCTTTAAAAGAAGTACATTTTTGCTCACTAAGTTTGCATTGATTTAATAAAATACAGTCAAAATATGTCGCAACATGAAATGTCAATAACTTAAATTTTTTTTTATTTATTCATGTGATGGAAAAGCTTTTAATCACTTCAGTTTTCAGAGTCACGATTACTGTCACTATTTCACTATTAGAGTCACTATTTGTTATGGGCTCATTATTATTAACTATGATGTCAATCGTTTTTTTTTTTTTCAGGATAATATGATGAATACAACATTTAAATGAGCATCATTTATTTGAAGCATCACAAATGTATTGCATTTAAATTCCTGAAATCCTACCAACTCAACATTGTTCGAACAGTAGCACACTTAGAACAAATGTAAACGTTCAAATACTGATGTTGATGAGGGGAAAAAAAGGGAAAGACAAGCCATGCATAATTAAAATCCACACTGTAATTTTCTACCCTGCTACTTCCAAACAAACTCCATAACTTGTATATACTATTTCACTCCGCCTCAATTCGCCAGACAGAAGGAATTCTTAAAATAAAACAGTTTGGCTAGAACTGCCTGAGTTGTAAAGGGAGAAAAAAGAAAAGTGGAATATAAAGTATAAGGTTGGGAATGCAGGGGACATTCCTGCATGCAAAAACTTGGACCGAATCCTTCATTGTATTGCAACGTTAGCAAAATATTTACTCTCAACAGCCACGCAATACATCAGACTTTCACTCCTGCAGTATTTCTAATAAAGGAAGAACAAAACAGAAAAAAGGAAAGAGAGAGACAGAGAGAGCGGTTTCTCCCAAGTTTGGTGCGCTGGTGCGGAAGCCAAACAAACGCTGTAGCTTTAAATCAGTGTTATTGTTGGCCTTCTCTCTCTCTCTGACACCTCTCCACCCATAGCATCCCTCAATTCTGAGTCTTCCTCCGCTCTATCACTACTTCTCCCTCCTGTCTGCTTGTGTAATGTGCTTAGGACAAGCTAAATGTGTCCGATAAAACCGACAGCACTCATAACCTTCCAAGGAATTCTGCTTGGGGCTTTTGACTTATTGTTTTTCCCTCATTCTGGACATCTGGATCAGGCCTCAGTCAAACTCTATGCAGTCCCGGCCAAGATTGGATTTTATTACATCAGGAATTTTGTCACATGCAGCCTGGATAACATTCCTTTAAATACCATAATGCTGTGCATCGGCATCTATTTTTAGCAGTTAAACTGTGATTCCTACGTTCGAGTGCACTTCTAAAAATAACGTGTGTTCTTTTAATGACATCAGTGGTTCCATTCAGAATTTTTCAGCATTCAAACGTTGTGGAAAAAGGTTCTTTAGACTATGTGGTGTATGCAGAAGGACTTCATTTTCTGTAACCTGGGTCAAACGCTTCTGGTGAACTGTATGCGGTTACAAAATCTGTGCTTTTAAGGTCTGTTTTCTTTAAAAATCAATGATCTTTACTGCCACTGTACTATAAAAAGTGGTTTTTCGATTGTACAAGAAGCACTGCATTAAATTACATTTCACAATGCCATGTCTTTAAAATATGAACACTTATTTTACTCCAGTATTTTCAATGGAGTTTGATTCTGATGGGTGTAAATGGCTTTTCGTCTCATTATATGCTTAAACAACTTAATAAATGCTAAAGTGTATTTAACGGATTGTATATTAATTACATTACATCATTGATGCTGTAAAAGGAACCATATAAAGAAACAATAGCTGTGTGTATAGCTTATTGAAAAGAGAAGCTACTAAGAAAAGTTCTGAAAGGTTCATTTTACATCAAGGAGTTGCTGAGGAAATCTTTGTGATGTTCGATTAGTTTAACTTTAACTTAAATGAAAAACCTTGAATGTAAACTTGAATAAAAATGTAAAAAAACAAACAACAAAACTACAAAAATTTGAAAACTACAATGACAACAGAAAAAAATTATAATAAAAGCTAAATCAGTAACTTATTGAAATTGAAATGACAGTAATGTATAAGATAAACAAAATAATATTTAATAATAATAATTATTATAATAAAAATCTAGATATTTATATACAGTATACCAGAAAAAACCCACGTGAATATGGGGAGAACATGCAAATTGGCCCAGTTATACATACATACATACATGCATATATACATATACATGTATATATACATATACATGCATATATACATATACATGCATATATACATATACTGTATATATATATATATATATATATATATATATATATATATATATATATATATATATATATATACATACTTACATACATACATACATACATACATACACACATACACACACACATACATACACACACACATATATATATATATATATATATATATATATATATATATAAACACACACACACACACACACACATATATATATATATACACACACACACACACACACACATATACACACACACATACACACACACACACACACATATATATATATATATATATACAGTATATACAGTCAGAATATTTATACAATTGAAGTCAGAATTATTAGTCCCCCTGTTTATTTTTTCCCCAATTTCCGTTTAACAGAGAAGATTTTTTCTACAAATTTATAACATAATAGTTTTAATAACTCATTTCTAATAACTGATTTATTATGTCTTACTAGACATTTTTAAAGATACTAGCATTCAGCTTAAAGTGACATTTAAAGGCTTAACTAGGTTAATTAAGTTAACTAGGCAGGTTAGGGTAATTAGGAAATTTTTTATGATGGTTTGTTCTGTAGACTATTGGAAAAAAATATAGCTTAAATTTTTTTCCAAAATATAGCTTAATTTTGACCTTAAAATGGGTTTAAAAAAATTAATAACTGTTTTTAATCTAGCTGAAATAAAATAAATAAGACTTTTTCCAGAAGAAAAAATATTATCAGACATACTGTGAAAATTTCTTTGCTCTGTTAAACATCATTTGGGAAATATTTAAAAAGAAAAAAAAATTTAAAGGGGGGCTAATAATTCTGACTTCATACACTAACCCTAACTCCAACCTAACAGTCTACTTGGAAGTAGTTGGCATGTAGATGCAATGTAACGGAAATTCAACAAAATGTGTTCAAGGAACTATCAAAATAAAGTGATACCGATGTTTCATTTTCATATCTACAGCTAGTTCAACCTTAAAACGTGAATTATAAAATAACATGATCATTTAGAAATGAATATATTATTCTTATATAATAATTATTTAGATATTAAAATGGTCTATACACATAAAGCATATTAAATGCAAGCAAAGTGGCTGCTGTGAGGTTTAAAATAACATAAATGGGTGAAATATTTTTCCATCTTTATTCAGGGCAATATATATTAATTTAAAATGTTACAACACACTTATGCCACGGTCACACTAGAGTTTGAGCATGCAAAATTCTGTTGTGCAGTGTTGCGAAAAGGAGCGGGATAAAACTAAATACAAAAAGCGAGTGCTTGGTCCATATTTTACATTTCTGT